AAATATCGGATTTTGTTACCCTATCTCACAGTGACGTCATATTTAAGCTATCTAAGGCTATATCAGCCAGTGGTGGGACAGACCCTAAGTCTAAGCTTGAAATATGATGTTAAGTAATAAGCAAATGACTTAATTCGTTTCCTCGTAATCACGATTTGTTATAAAAGTTACAACCGCAGCCCGACCGCTGCGTTAATATATTTTATTACGTTAACATTTTAAGGTTACATTTTAAACTTCTACAAATAAATTTTATATTTTATTACTGTAGAAACTACCGGTTTACTTTTCGATTTCGGTACCAAAAAGTAACTGTGAATACATAATATTAAATTAAATAATACCAAGAAAAAGTTAATTTATAAAAATGCAAATAAAAAAGAACTAAAAAATGGGTCAAATCAGATCAACAATTATAACTGTTTATCACATCATAGACAAGAATGTAGAAACAATCAGACATGCTCATTACGAGTACATAGCTAAACTAGCAAATGATCTAATTTCAAAACATATCGTTCACTTACCGAGAATTCACGAGCTACTAGCGGTAATACAATATGGACACGGCAATAAATATATCGTGTATTTATTCTAACAGCATTAATACAACTTAATTCGCAATCTGCAAAAATAAACTTCCTTTCCCGCGAACGTGACGAGTGCGCCGGCGCACAGCTACACTCTGTCAGGTCAATGAACAAATAAAATCTGTCCGTTCAGAAGCTAGCGGCAAGTTAGTGACCTTATCTAACGCGCTGCTGACATGGCCCAATAACAAATGATGCGTACGTAACAATCAATTCATATTTAGTCAATTACTATTTGTGTCATATGTGTTTAAAGTACTCAAAACAAACTGTAAATGTTAAGGTTGTCGCTTACTGTAGACTTTCATACTGGCTCTCTTACATTCCCGCCAGTTATAACGCGCTTAATAATATGAAACAAACGAACACATAAATATATAGTACCAACTGGAACTTTAAAGATCTTTCTACGTTATCAGCCGGCTGCGCGACGTGACTACACCCAACGGAAGCTTATCTGCTATCTCATTCATACGCAACATTGAGACCTCACTGTTATTTAATTTATTTTTTAACATAATCGATCCTTAAAGGGATTTATAAGCATACACAGACTTTTTATTGTGTTCTTACGTAAATTAAAAGGATTTTATTTTATCTTGAATTATGTACGGAAGTATGTTATAAAAAAAAGTCCCTACATTATGTTGCCACATTGTTTTGTTCCGAACAGATATAGAACTATATCTAATCAAAACAATGCTAATTCTTGAAACTAACACGAAAAATGCGTTTAAATTCGCTGAAGTAGGTGATCCTTTTTTCATTTCACCGCGTAACTTTTGAATATTAAAACCGAATACGTCAAAATGCGGAACGATCGCAGTCTTGATCAGTTGCGGGAATTTCAGTAGACATGAAAAATCTTTGGACAAAGAATTCGTCTATATGTTTAAACTAGGTTTACGATAGCTCTGCTAGTTGGCGATTAGACAATAATTCTGCATTGTACTCTACAACAAACTGTACATCTCTCGAAATACGTCATAATTGACCGGATATATTGACGACGGCAATTTTGCGCGCCCCTAACCTCTACAACTAGTGAAGATTAAAATTGTTTGGTTCGTATGACACCTATAGTTTAGATAAAATGAAAGCATAGGGAATAGAAATTCTACCAACGATCTTTTGGTGAAATATGGACTGGATTATATGAATTGTAAATTTTTAACATTTGAGAGCATATAAATTTGATAAATTCATTTCTAATTGGACTAGGAAGGTTTTTATAATTACCATTTTTAAAAGGAGATAACCAAAAATAATTGTTTGATTGACCTTTGTTGATAATTTTTATATCCAACTTTACATTTATAACTTGTTAGGTTACAAACATAGGTAAGTAACAATAAAACAGTTAGAATATAAATGAAAATAATAAGGAAATAATCCAGCCATATGCAAATGACTTGCTTGTGTTGATTTGTTTAGTTTCCCATATATGGAAGATAGTCATAATTATTTTCTTATGATGTTGAACAATCAAAAATTGAAACATTTTAAAAGATAATTAACATTAAAAACAAAAAACTTTACAAAATACTATTTATTCATAATTCAAGATGAAAATAAATTTCATAAAATCACATTAACATATACAGGACCATTCTGTATCCCCTATGTTGTCTATTGTGATTTTTAATTTACAGGATTAGGAAAATTTTATTCCTCCATTATAGATAGTATTTTTGTTAAGTTCTAGCCTACTGCTTAATATCGGCTTCATTTTCATATGCCCTTCATTTTGTAGTGTAATGGTATAAATACAAAAAAAATAAACTTCAATAATGAATTAAAACATAATTCAATCCTTTAGTGAAGTAAAAGGTCGAAATCGCGGGAAATATTTTTTTGGCTACGTTGAGAGCGCCAAGTATTCTAAATAAATTAATGAACTTATTTATGAATATGGTTACAATATTTTTTGACAGCATTTAAACTAGAGGTACATCTACAGATATATAATAATATATAACGTATAACTTATATGTATAAATATACAATAATATAATCGAAAAAACACTTGTTTACATGATTATTTTGGTTAATTTTAACCGTCAAAAGTAACTAGATGTTATACTTACTTGACTTAAAGACTTATATGTGCTTAAATTAATTCTACCGACGTTCTAATTCGATATTAATAAATGTTATTCGCATATTACATTTAAAAAGGGTGCAATAACATAATACAAATATTTTATCATACGAAATTACACATTATTGATACTGACAATGACATTTGTCATTGTCGCTATTTTTTTAATTTTCTCAAAGAGTACCTTAGCTACGTCAAATTGTAATGTTTTAAAACATTTTCATGAATATTTAAATATCGAAATATAATCTTGACATATTAAGACATCTCACCGTCAGATTTTACATGATATTGTGAAAATTTCAATAATTGGAACATTTAACTAAACAAAGAAAACAATGCCGAAGCAAAAGTTTCCACATAGAGATGTATCGACAGTGTTACAAAGAATAAGGGAGCTTTTACTTGGTAGAAAGCATACTTTACATCTTCGTTTCCCTAAAGCGATTACTCCTCGTACTATTCCTCCTGTGGATCTTTCTCGCAACCTCGACTCTAAGTATTCAGAGCAATATTACTATACTAGAAATGCAATGGATTCCGTAAAGCCACCTGTTGTAGCACCAATAGCTCTTGGCAGCAAAGTACGCAGTTGCTCGAGCAAACCAAGTGTACGTTAGGATATTGTTAATTATAAAAACAGTAAGTTTCATTACTTATAATTGATTGTTAATATTTAACTAACGTAACTACTTTTCAGATTTCCTTTGATTCTGCACCAACTCCAGGACCTACTTGGTGGTGGGATGGTCGTTGTTATTATGAATGTACTCCAGATGTTCCTAAACCTAAAACAACACCAACTACCCCATGTACTATCGAACCTCATTGTGCCCAAAAACCAAAAGTAGAAGATCCTTGCAAGTAGTTTAATAATAATAAAATACCATGTTCCCACTTTACTTTTTACAATGGGAAAAAATAACTAATACAAAACTTACCATTGCTTAAGTAATGCTCTATTTAGAAGATTACAATTAACAAGATCGTTAACTTGTTGGATCTTTTGAATGTGTATACCTACATGATATGATTATGATTCTATTGGAAAAAGAACATTCGAAAATAAAATGTTTTTGAGGACTGTGCTTTTTATTTTCTTTCTAAATGAATTCCATTACTACCAAACCCAAACGAACCAGGCTTTTGCCAATACGATTACAGCTGTCAACTGTCAGATTTAGTTCGCACGTGTGTTGTCTTTATATGTCAACGTCAACGTGTTTTCAATTTTGTGTTTACGACTTGAGTTCAAATATTTTTAAATTAACATTTTCCACTGTAACCTCTACGACTAACATTTCTTAAAAATACTGTAATAGTCGTTTTATATTGTTTTCTAAGATTATACGATGTCGAATATAAAAATAAAGGTTATAAGTAGAAACCCTGAAGATTATTTACGGTCTACCAAGAGGGATATACACAAACGTAAGTTTCAGTTCCATTGTTTTCTTTTTTAATGATAAATGAATATATACAGATGTAGTATGGTTTTTCAGTACCCAGAAATTATGATCCGAGTCTACATCCTTTGGAAGCACCACGCGAATATGTGAGAGCAATGAATGCTGTTAAGCTTGAAAGAGTATTTGCCAAACCTTTTATTGGTAGTCTTGATGGACATAGAGATGGAGTTTCAAGTATGGCAAAACATCCTGATAAACTTGCAGTACTAGCTAGTGGTGCTTTTGATGGCGAAATAAGACTTTGGGATTTAGCTCAAAGAAAATGTTCAAGAAATTTCGTGGCCCATGAAGGATGGGTTCGTGCTATTTGCTTTACACCAAGCGGAGAAACATTTACAAGTGTTGGTGATGACAAAACAATAAAAACATGGAAATCTCAAACCCAGACGCCCGAGGATGAGGAACCAGTGAATACTTTACTCAGCATGTCTGTGGTATCAGGCATTACACACCACAGGAATAAACCAATTTTTGCTACATGTGGTGAACATTGCCAGTTATGGGAAAATACAAGAAATGAACCTATAAAAGTATTTAAATGGGGAGTAGACAGCCTTCACCATGTTGCATTTAATCAGGTATTTTATTTAAAGTTTAACTTTTGAAAAAAAAACTCAATTTGATATCTGAGATAGGAATCTGGGTACATTTTAAAAGTTGCTTACATCCTTTTTGTCTTTTAAGGTTCAATAGTGTTACAGTATAGAATATAGTATTACCTATTCAATCACTTTGCAACTTTTCTTAACTTCAACATGATTTGTAATTTTAATAGTGAAATAGATCAAATGAACCCCTAAAATAAATCCCTAAAATGTTAAAGATGTCATTTTATAAATTCCAGGTTGAATACAACTTGCTAGCGTCGTGCGCAAGTGACAGGAGTATTATACTTTATGACTGCAGAGAATCAGGTCCTTTGAGAAAAGTTGTAATGGAACTTAGGTCAAATGCTCTATCATGGAATCCAATGGAGGCATTTATATTCACTGTAGCTAATGAAGATTATAAGTAAGTAATTCTAAAGATTTTCCCAACTATTATTAAGCACTAGCAGTTGCTTGTTATTCTGTCCATGCAGAATTACAAGCAACTACAAGGAAGCAAGGTTGCCGTGGGTGTCATTTGTGTGTCATGTGGGTGTCAATTTTGACATTTGTAATTAAAAATTTCACAAATGTAAAAAGTCAAAGCCTTTGTAATTTCATGCAGATGCCACACGGGAACAGCTAGTTATTAACATGAATTAACATGTGTGCTTCAACAAGAAGTTGTTCATTTTGTTATTCTTATTCTCATTTTTTAATGTGTTATTTTCTAGCTTATACACATTTGATGTAAGGAAACTTAACCAACCTATTAACATCCATATGGATCATACATCAGCTGTGATAGATGTAGACTACTCACCTACTGGACGAGAGTTTGTAGCTGGCAGTTACGATAAGACTGTTAGGATATTTGAAAGTCTAAAGGGACATTCAAGAGATGTCTATCATACGAAGAGAATGCAGCGGCTCACATGTGTCAAATGGTCTTTGGACAATAAATACATATTAACAGGGTCTGATGAGATGAACATCAGAATGTGGAAAGCAAGAGCATCTGAGAAACTTGGTGTTGTAAGTAAATATTTGTTTTTTAAAGCTTGGCACTTTCTATTTATAAAGTACAGAGATTGACTATTAAGAACATTATGTTTTAGCAACTTTTTGACTTTCACTATCTCTTTGCTGCTATGTGGTAAAGTTTTATGAAGTTATAGTGGTCTTTTTTCACTTATTTAATTAAATTTACATTAAGAGTCAGAAAATAAGTATATGTGATATCTGGTTTTAATAAAAGGGGGGCTCTTGATGTTTTTCTCTTATTTTTCTTACATAAATGTGCAATCACTTAAATTGTGTATCAATTATTTCAGCTCAAACCTCGTGAACGAACAGCACTCAATTATGCTGATGCATTAAAAGAGAAGTTCGCGAATCATCCACAAATCAAGAGGATAGCTCGTCACAGGCATGTACCGAAGCATATCATGAATGCACAGAAGGAACTGAGAACGATTCGGGAGAAGTCAAAGAAGAAAGAAGCAAACCGTCGCGCGCACAGCAAACCTGGCGCCGTGCCATATGTGCCCGAGAGGAAGAAACATATTGTCAAAGAAGATCAGTAAATTTTATTTTTTATAAAAGAAGAAAGAGAAAAGGCAGAGACTGTTTTAACATTTTTCATTACAGTTTGGACATAGTCCTCTTTGTTTTATTAATATTCTTAAGAACTACATCGTTTTGTTGTATTTGTGATTAAAATCAAATGCATATACATCCTAACCTAAAAAAACCTTAGAACACCAGTACATATTTTGATGTTCAAACAAATTGTGTTTAAATGTTTATCACAAATGATTGCGTAATGCCAAAATAAGTGATAGTCTATCTCTGTGATAACTTTATTATCTTTATGAAAAAATTGCACTCGACAGCGAACGGTAATCGCAATTTATCGGACAGATTAGATCTGAAAATGGGCGATGGTACTGTCTTTATTATCCTTATCATAAAACGAGCGCCAGGACAGACAAGATAACATATGCCAAATTCGTACGATAAAATAAAGTACTACATCAATTTTTGTTTAACTGTAGTTCCTTTGCGAATAAAGTGATTTATGAATAACATTTACCTAGATACAAAAAATCATCACGACACAAATTCTTTTATTAGAGTAAAAGTTTGTTACATGTTAGAGTATACTGTATTGCACTACGAGATATTAAATACTTTCTTATTCATACAACGGGACCATTCTCACTGAACAAAACATTTTCATTACTCTTCAATTCAAAAACGAGGTAAGGAGGCACATGAAGAGATTAAAATGTTTAAAAAAAAAACTGAATACGCAATTTTAACCGTAATCGCTAAACAGCAGATAATTGCATTTAAATTTCATTGGTATTACATAAAAAGAAGTATATAAAGCGGAAGTTTCAACCAGCTTGATTGACAGGCCTGCTGATGCGGTTCGGAACGGTCATCGTCCAGATATCTATCCTGGAAATAAAATTACAAATTAAAGAAAGAAAAAACACTCAAGAAGAAATAGAAATTAACTGAATTAAATTTCATTCACATTAACCTTTGGAAAATTTCATCTTACTTTTTAACTTACAAACATCGTAAATGCTAAAGTTTATAGATGGAAGGATGGATGTTTGTTAGATGGTATCTCCTAAATTGGAAGAACACATTATTTATTTTTTAATTTCGCACATGGAGTCAAAAGTGCTACAGCTAGTTAGATATAAAATAAACACTAACATTATATCACGTGGTAAATATGTTTGGTCTAGATTGTGCTCAAGAACTTTGAGTATGCACAGTGTTTTGAGCGTAGGTGAATAGTCCAAGATGTGCAAGTCACTGTTGTCTATCAGCCTCTCCGGATCCTCTACTGCTTCAGCATTGTCCAGGGAACGGCTGCTTACATGGGGACATGGACTGAAAGCAATTTATAAATCAATTGGTTTCATGCAAATCTTAATCACTTCAAAAAGAAATCCATATAATAAAGTATTTGTCATATCTTTGCAACCTGTTTCGCACTATGCAAAAGTCATGAATAAGCTATTTGGAAGATTCATCAAATAATCAAATAAAATTAGTTGTTTTAAAATCTACCAATAAGCTGTGATACACAAACTAATTCAGTTTATTTGTTTTCCAGCATTTTACTTGGAAATTATTAACCCACATAAAAAATTTAATTATCAAATATTTAATAAGTTATATTATAAAAAAATGTTTATTCCCACCTTGTTCCCCCGAAAAGGTAAAGTTTATTATTATACAGCAAGCAAGCTTGGCGCCTTCTCTGGCAAGGCTTTGTTCCACAAACATTTATATATTGCCAGTAATTTCCATTTAATGAGTATCTGTATAAATCATTAAAGTGGGTTTTTGTATTTCCATTAAACCCACCAAAGATGTACATATAGCCACCATGATACCCTGCAAACATTAATTATTTTTAACTACAACATGACATTTTATTAAAGTATATTTTTATAACATGTGTAAGTAGCCATTTTTTAAGATACAAGGGTTATGATCCAATTTGTCCCTACTTTAAAACATTTTTAACACTACATATGAATGAGGCCTAAACCACTCAAGAATGTTTCACAATGGCCACAATGATTTAAAATTAATGAAATACATAATTCTTGAGAATTTACATACTATTTGCATATGTTAATTATATGTGTTAATGTTGATTTTATACATACAAAGTATTCATTTTTGAGACTCACTTATATTTGCAACTAACATTAAATCTGTCTTCTAAACAAGCTATTGATAGCACAGAAACAATGAATGTCTGTTATACCATATGAATACTCTTTGCTATTTGAATCGAGTCATTACTTGGTAAAATATTAGATTACTTTACTTGGGAACTACTTATATTATTGGTTTTGGAGCAGATAAAAAGGTAATTAGCAATACTTTACCCCAAACATGATAATAGAATGAAGAATTTCACATAAATATAAAGATGTTAGGAATTAAACATTGTGTATTTTTAGTAAAGTAAAATATCTTACATGCTGAATGGCTGCGTCTGCCCTCTGGCCAAGTCCCTTGTGGGTTGGCAACAACCCACTCATCCTTCACTGTATCCAAATAAAATACTTGTGGGCAATATACTTCTTCCTGAGAATTATATGGGCTATTCAAATCTCCTCTGCCACCAAATATATACATTCTATCTCCAATTGGCACAGCCGTGTGGAAGTCTCTCTGAGAAGGTGGAGCTCCATGTACATCAACAAAAGTCCATTGTAAACTGTCCAAGTCTAAACAATGCACCTCCTGTGAATACTGGTCGGTTAAGTATTCAAAACCTCCAAATATATACATTTTGTTTCTTATAACACATGCAGAATGACCATCTTTGGCGTAGGGCACAATGCCAGTAACAGGTGGCATGCTCCATTCTAGTTTTTTTGTATCAAAACAAAATAATGTGTCACAGGCAACAGCATTATTTCTTCCTCCCCACATATATACCTGAAAAATAACATTGTAATATCAAAGAAGGAAGTCGTTTACATTTTGCGCACAATATTGAAAACAATTGAATATTCATTTTAAATTATTTCTTCAAGTGTCTAACCTTGTCACCATAAGCGACCGTTGTGTGTCCATATCTCTGAAACGGCATTACATGAGTCTTTTTGTAATATACCGGGGACCATCTTAGTGTGCTTGTGTCCAAAACATGGATGGGAATTGGTTCCCAATCCTTGTATTCTTCTGTTGAACAATAACCACCGAATGAAAATATTTTGTCGTCAATGCACACAGCTGCGTGATTGACCCTCCGTGGGCCTCCTTCGATATTCACCGTCCATCTCATACTAACGATTTCTACAAAAGAAAAGATAGATCAATACCGAGTACAACATTTTCAAACAGTCGATGATTTGTTGTATTACTACCTTATACTGAACACTGGAAACAATAATTGCGGCAAATCAAATGGAAACGTTATTTTTTTTTATTTCATATGGTACTTTTTCACAACAATCCTAGTTTATTTGCATGTGTATATTTTATTTTCACTTTTATAGCGTAATTTGAGCCGATGACCAACTGATGACAGAACCGATACTGACAGTAATGTTTTTTTAAAAAAACATTAAGACAAATAGTACAGCCACTCACAAAAATATACTAACTGTTGCCATTAAAAGAAATTAGCTCAAAAAGTTCTTGCAATATTGCGATGTTTTGATTGTATCTCTCATAAGACCATGGTAATAAAATGTTTGGCATCATTTTAAATTGTGTACTTTTCGAAATGTCCGTTTACTTTTATTAATTTCATATCTTTAATACAGATAATATAAGCCTCTCGTTACTTATAAAATATCCAAGTTACCTTTATATCATTATCCAGTCAACCAAAGCTTTTTGGTTCTCAGAACTAGGTCAACTCCATGCCAGAACTATAATAAATCGCGACTTTTAATGTTTTTACTCTTATCAGAGTTACATCTATGGGACAGGATATACAATGACGCTAAACATCTATATGACCAAGCTTAAAAGCTTAGATCTTAGTTTAAGGTACTTGTTAATGTATTCATAACATTTTTTTTATAATTCTGTATATTTTGAATTGTATATTTAATTGTAAGTAACAGATTTTGTAATAGACGACGATCGCAATGGTTAATGATATATGTTGTGTAATTCAATCTTAGAAAAATTATATTTCTGCTTGCGCAACTTTCTCATTTTACTGGAAGTTGGAATCAAATTATTAAGCCCTATCTTGTGCAATAATGTTGTTCTTTTTTCATCAGCCGGAGAGCAATAGGCGTGATCTTTCAACGCCAGGCGGTGTTAGGGCGCGAATCATTTGTTATTATTTCTCTCACGCGTCGACTTCCAAACAAATTGTATTGTATCTGACAATATGAGCGATTATTGTTCGATTTGATGTAACAAATGTTGTCTTATGCCAAACAATTTTTTTATCAGACGGACACTTTCTAAGTAAACTGGAACAAAGTTTACATGAACGAACATTACTGAGTAACATTTTTCGCAGCGTCGTACAAAATGTGTTACAAATATTACATGTTCGATTATTTCATGTGTAATAGAAATGTTAACTTTTTAATGTAACAGCGATTTAGATTCGAGTTTAGATATCTTATATGATGTTATGTTCGTATGTTTATTGCAAGATTCAGCCTGCTTAGCGAAAGCCTGTTCCTGTTCGTACCATGTCTTAAATACATTTTGCAAAGAAAGTAGTGCTTTATATACTTTTTTAAGCACTGATGACATGTGTCGTACAAGTTAAGTACCTCTACGTTTATGCGCGGGAGGTCGCACGCATCGGTTAGCGAATCTACAACAAAACGTATTTTTCTTCGTCCCCACGCGGGGTGGTGACATGTCCCGTGACGTATAGAAAGCGCATTGCTGTTGACGTTCGATCTATAAATCATATTCGGGGCTTCGGGGAGAAGCGACCGGCGATCCTCCCTGGCGACCCGTCTGCGCTTTCCTCGTTTTTTGTCTGTCTCCTGAGCCCTGGTGATATGTTTATCATATCTCGGAAGCACTAACAAGATGTATAGATTATAGTTTAAACAATCATCAACATTTATTTTGATATTACTAATTGTTTCGTCTGGTTTTTCATTATCGAGAGGTTCTCTAGCGTGATTGTAAGTATATTTTTGTATTAAAGTATATATTTAACTGGTACAAACCATTACAAAAAGTAAAAAAATCTTAATAATGCTAATTGTAATCTTACTAATATTATAAATGCGAAAGTTTAGATGGATGGATATTTGTTAGAGTTTGTAGCCTAAAAAGCTATAAGGATATGGATAAAATTTTGTATAGATGTAGAGTATAGTCTGGAAAAACACATAGGCTACTTAGTTTTTTTTATAATTCCAAACGAACGAAGTTGCGGGCGAAAGCTAGTTTAAGAATACTTGAATATCCAGTCGAGTATGTAAATCGTAAGCAATGCAAACGGTGCATCATGCTAATATCTTTTGAAAAACTTATTTGGATACATTACACGCGCCACCCGTTACCATATCCAACTAACATTTATCATCGGAATCCTATAAAAAGTAAACCGGAACTAATCCTGTACCGCGCCAGAGCCCTCCCCTAATCTGCATACGCGAAGGAAAATAATTTCACGCCCTCTCAACATCGGGAAGATGCTCTTTTGTCGCCACTCTCAACGAGTAAACATTTTAAATGCAATTTTAGAAACACGTAAAGACGGTAATTTTTGTCGTTACCTTATTTAACTACACGTGACTATTATCATTTTTGGTTTTATTTAGTTATGATTATTTGAGTGAATATTTCTTAATAATAATCATAATAGTAACTGAACTAAAAGTAATTTCTTAAAGTAACTCCGGCTATTGTACATGTACCTCACTAGAAAATTTATAGTGTTTATGTCTCGCATGATAATAATAATCAAGTATAAAGTAGCAGTGCTGTCACCGGGTTGCCTGCCTTTATTGATACACGGAAAAGATTTCTGTTTGATAGTTGTGGTTCGTGAGCTTTGACGCCTTGCTTACTTTAAGTGATGTTTTTAATTTATCGATATCTTACCTCGGACATTACTTTGAAAAATTCCTGCAAATTACAAAAGATGTAATTTATCTTAAAATTAAATAAGTATATTTGACAATTTACAATTGATTTTAAGTCATAGTTTTTTTAAATAATATCATATCAAAAAAAATAAAAACGTGTAGTACAAATATGTATTGTATTGTAGTTTTATAATTTTTATTAAACTAACTAGTTACTTAAGTTAATGAAAGTAAAGAACCCAAACGGTTCTTTGTATTCGAAGTTGGTTTTTGACAGACTTCCCAAAAGAAGGAGGTACTCAATTCGTCTGTTTGTTTTTATCGTCAAAACTAGTTGTCGATATTTGGAGTTAGCGATGGCCCAACACTATTCGCATAAAGACTTGGTAAATCTCCCCATACCGTGGCGTTTATTGATGGACTTTGGAAGTTTTCAGCGTTATGACCGCCTACTTTACATGTGATGTGTTAGTTTTATTACGATTTCGCATTTGCCGCCCGATGTGCCGCTGTGAATTTCTTTTTAGGCTTTCATATTGTTGCCATGCCGTCGAAGTGTTTTTCATAAAAGATAAAAATCTTATTTATTATTATCGACGTCTTGAATAGAAAATGGAAATCAAATCGTAATAATAAAAAATACTTAGAATACGGTTGAGAACTTTAGCATAAAATGATTCGGTTATTATCTGTTTTGTATTTAATTTTAAAAGTTTTTAAATAAGGTTTATATATGTAAGTAGTAATCTAAATAAGACGATGACATTCTTGTAAATTGCTTTTAATGAAACCTAAAAATTTTCGTGGGTTATTTCAATTCGGACTACCTATAAGTCATTTTTATGCGGCCACTTTTAGGCAATATATTCCCTTCCATTGTGGCTAAGGTGCTCGAAGGGATAAAGGCTTTAATCTACGATTATAGGCGACACTCACTATTGTGCTTGACCTATTCGTTGAGTTATTGCCCTTATCAGCGATGATGGTACACTTTGATAGTAACTTTGATGACATCCATTGAAAAGTATACTGTTAAAAATGTATTAAAGGTTGTTAAATGTTGTTTTGTTAGTGTATTATTAAAAATATCGGTTTCACTGCAAAACTAGCATTATTTTATTGGAAATATCTAACAAAGCTTTTATTGCTTGTAACAACTTGTATTATATTGTATTTTAAAAATTACATTTTTTCGAAGTATATGCATTATTACTTAATAAAGAATTTATAGTGACACTTTTTCTCATTGTAACCTATGTAAAGTGTACTATACATATGTGCAGTTTAATCGGTTATATCTCATAGTCGTTAAGTACCTAATGTATTTATACAAGTGGACAAAAACGTGGCCATTACGCACAAGCTGCAAGTCGCAACTTGTAAAAAATATCTTATCCAAAGAACACATAAAAAGCAGACATCGTTTTTCTTTTAAAAAACTCTCTCATTTGCCTATCAATAGTGGTTGGAGCAGATCTGACCGTAATAAATGTCATATTTTATGGCACTTAGGGAAATATGCAAGGGAACCGTTTTTACATTTTAGCCGGTGACCGGGGGCCGCTCCTCTACACCGAATAACACATTTCACAACGCTCCATTCCTCAAAGCTTTTTAAATTCATCTTCAATTTTATTCCTCTTCCCGCTTATTGCGATATGTTCCGTATGCACTTTCCCACAAACAGGTGCCTACAGATCTTGGTATCAGAATAAATGAAAGTCTTGTTCTATAAGTTTCAATCATTTAATTTAGAAATTAAACAAACGTGTCTGTATCTATTTCGTTACTAAGATTTTATATCGCCATTCGTCACCCTCAGTATCTCGTTGCGAATAAAAGTTGTCGGCAACATGGATGTGATCCATCAAAGATTTGCGTCAAAATGAAAACAAATCTGTGCTAAGCTGTAGCCGAAATTCAAATACGATCGGATAATCGACACGGAACGTGCTGGTCGCGAAATCGTTTGCATTAAAAATATTAAAATAAACAAATAATTCGGCAACGGTATCGATTTTTTTTTGACAAAAACACATCAAAACTCTAATTTCTATTAAATAATTTACAGGATGAATACCGCAAATAACGAAAACTGCAGCACAGTTTTATTTACAGTAGACTATATTTAAAACGCTGCGTAATGGTCATAATGTCTAAGTCTAATGTGACGTGTTTGCAATAGTTTTGACTTTTCTAGCATTTCTGCCAAGGATTCAATAAAAAGGGTGAAACCGCATAGCCATAAAGGCGTCGATCATTGACTTACAGCGGGCACCCAAGGCACCAGGATGTCTCGCGACAAAAGGCGCGGAGTCAGATTACGCGCGGCACAATATTTGCGCGGGCGAGTGTGGGTTGCCCGATAAAAGTATTCTATTTATTACCAACGCGGTACATTCAGAGCGCGTCATGCGTTGACATCCGACTTCGCCGCGCTAACATACAAAAATGATCGACCTTGTAGGGTTGGCAATTTATTTTATTTAACAATATACTACTTTGTTTTGGAGCTTTGGAGAAGATC